CCCCAAAACCCCAAAACCCCATGAAATCTGTAATAAAGAAATTAAGTTAGCATTAAATTTCCTCTATTAGAAAATAAACTGAATTTCTATGAAATATGAATTCTTTCATTCACTTATATTTTCTTCATGAGTTTTCATTATCTAATTTCAATCTTAGCTTTTTCACCATTATTTTTACTTCGTCAACAGCATCAAGAATATCTTTTTTAATACCAATAGATCCCTAAACTTTTTCTTCCACCCTTTAAATGATCTTAGTCAGTATTTTTATTTTTCCTTCCCATTTTATTTACTCAGGAGCATCTTATCCAATTTCAGCATTATGACATATCAATAATCTGTGTAATTTAGATACATAGGTTTTATTTTTCAAATTCAAAAGTCCTTCTACTTCCATAACTAATTTCGCTTGTTCCTTTAAATCAACACTAGTAGCTAGTGTTTATACCCTATCATAAGTATCGCCCATAACAGCAATAATTAAGTTAAATAAAACTAAAGGAATGAAAAACGAAGAAATAATGAATAAAATCCATTACTATGAAGAAAATTCAGTTGTATCAAAGTCTCCAAATGAAAGTTTGTAAGTAAACTAAAGGGAGTTGACGAATATTAAAACTGAATTGTAAATATCAAAACTTTCCTCATAATCATAATCCCTTTCAAAAGTAAACAAATAAAACATTAAGCTGAAACCAACAATCCAGTAAATTAATATTATTGTAAAACTTGCCATATCCCTAATAATTTCGATGATCATGTTATTAAAGTATCTAAGACTACTAAAAATTCTTAAATGAGACATACCTCTTAAAAGCAAGCATATAAGAGTAACATTATCAATAAGAGTAGAAATTATCAAATGAGCCTTATTTTGAATTTCCATGAAGTTTCTTATGCAACTAAAATAAAACAATGTATACGCAATCATATCAGTGAAATTCCATATGTTGTCGAAATGATTTTTTATGCCAGATCTGAAAATCTGATTTAGTTCGTATCCAAAGAATATACTATTGAATACTAATAAGTATAAAGTATAGAAAAGAGAGTCGTATAGAAATATCTGCCTTATATAAAATGAAGCTAAGAAAAGGAAAAATGCAGCTGCTTAAAGTCTTAGAAAAGTCAAGCATTCTTCATACTTATAAGCTATTATAAATCTTAAGTTAGATCTAACTACATCTTCAGAAGTTTCTTTTGAATATTTCTTTAAAAAATTAAGACTTGATGCTGATCCTCTCTCAAAATCATATTCAAAGATACTCGAGCAAATTTAAAGAACAATATCCTCACCTCCAGGATTATTTTGAAATAAATCAACAATTTTATTGCATAGAGGCTATCCAATTAAGTTGTTTTAAAAAGGAACTAAGATTATTTATTTATTAGAATCAACATTGAAAGGAAGTGCACACTTATAAAACCTTGGAACTGTAAAGAGATTTAGTATTAATAGCTTTGCAGATGGTAAAGGACAGTCCATTAGTGTCAGAAGATCTTCACTAGTTACAATTATGCTTTCTTAGTGTTTGCAGAAAAACTCCAAGATAATATTCATGTGCTAGAGTTTATTCATTTCGTAAGCATAACTTAGAGGACTCATACCTTTGAATGTTGCATGATATAAATTCTGAACCTTAACATTATCAAAGAACTTTTGCATGAGACTTTGATCATTATTCTTGATTATATGATGGAGAATAGTTAATCCATTCTGCCCATAAAAAGTATCAACCATACCAAATTAATGAAAGGTCTAATAAGCTACTAAAGAATTTTCTTTTACAAGATTATCTTCATGATTGAGCCCCTTGATAATATACTTCATCAAGAATGTACTTGATGTAAATGAATCTGTTTTCGTCGGTAATTATGCTTTCGTTATTGGATTGAGTGTTTTAACTCCAAATATTTGTGTCCTAGCTGAATTCTTGCAAATCAAATAAGTTTAGTCTGTTTATTCAATGATTTGATTTACATTTTGAATCATATATTTGCAAACAACTGATTTAAGATTCTTTATATCCAAAACTTTTACTTGCGAGGAGTTAGATATGTATAAAAACTTCTAATCCAACGATAGTCTTACATCCAAAATTTAATCATTGATTTGTAGCTCTAATTCGGGATATTATTACTCAAAGTTGAATATAATAAAGTAGTTTTATTTTCCAGATTAAGAGGACCTAGTTTCAAAAAATGAAATGAGATTGTTATTTAAGAGCGTATATTTGTCTGAGGAAAATGTAAGTTTTTTCATTAGAAAGGTGTTTGTATTTTGCAAGAAATCTCGAAGAATTAGACAATTTTGCTGTTCATCATATATCACTACTTTAGAGCTGGATCCAGGAACAAAGTCTACTCTTGATACAACATTCTTAATAAATGGTTGTTTCAATTAAAACAGGCCTTCATCTGAGTTCCAATCATAGTACTTATAATATTAGCCCCCAACGTTGATAATCAATGATTATTAGTCATCTGAAAATATTATTTTCATTCCAAGAGCACTCAAGACTTCTTTGTTTTTGTCAATATCAAAAACAATAAACTTTCTATCAAGTTAAATAGTTATAAATCTTCCATTGAAGCTGAACCATTTTACCTACTTTAGATTGTTGACACTTACATTAGGTAGATTTTCTTAGAAAAAGCTAGACAAGTTTTAGATAATTGATATCCCTTAGGTAATGTCACTTTACTAGAAATTGGAGTCAGATATCACAATTCGTGATAAATCATTAGTTGTGTAACAGCCAAAACTAATATTTAATGATTATATTGTAGTAACAAAGCTAGTTTCTAAGTTGTTTAAATCCAAAATAATACATTCAAAAGGAGCTTTATTTCGAATAGCATAATAGACTTTGAGTTTTGGTAAAATAATAGCTCGTGAATAACTTATGTTGTCTATAGTTAACTCAAATGCTTTTTAATCTACACAAAAGCAAGAATTGTAATTATCCAGATAGACCGATGTCATATTTTTAAGTTAATGATGGTAAGGAATGCAATTCACTGAAAATTCTATGTTAACATCCGGATCTATATTGATGATTGGATTAGTCTCAACAAGCTTTATCTAGTCAGCCTTGAGTGAAATTTTCCACTCCTTTAATTGCTTTTTATCTATCATAAAATACTATTTTTAATCTAAATAGTAACCTACTTCTAATCCCTCATAAGTTTTTAAATTAACTGTTGAAAGATTTTATTTTTTCACAATGTCATAAAGCTAAATTTCAACTCCGTGAATAAATATCAAAGCCTTATCAGATTAGTTCACAAATATTATTTTTGGATATAGCGCTAATTAGTTTGATTTTAAAAGCTTTGGAGTTTCTGAAACATTTTTAAATTTCTTATTTGAAAGACTTACAAATAGCACATAATGCTAGCAAGGGTGCTTCAAAATATCTTCTTTTTTTATTTCTTCTTTTGGGATTTAGAAAATTCGAGATATTGCAAAGTACTTCATATCAATTGACACAGCTGAGAATAGAAATGTATCAAATTTCTTTTCCGATATTTCATGCTTCAAGCTATAAACTATGTTTTTCTTGCTAATTTTTAAGACATGAAGAAATTATGATGAATGCTCAGCTTTTTTTTCTAAAGTCATTATTAAATGTGCATCTCCTTCTGCATAGTTATCCTCTAGTTAGCAATCAATAGGGTCATATAGGTGAAAAGTCGCAACATTTGTTGAGAGTTATGTTTGATATAGAATAGCATTTGTGTACCTTTATAGAATGTGTAATTCTTAGCTACCCAGTAAAGGCTCAAATAAAATGCATATATATCTTGAAGAAATGCCCATCTAAATTGGATTAAGTCCCTATTCTTTGTAGTAATCTAGTACCAAACTTTTGTTGAATTTATCTTCATCTGCTTCATTAAAATAAGTTGTAAGCGCATTTTCTTCTTTTAATGATGTTAATGAGTCTGCTGTTTGCATTTTAACGTATATTCAAGAAAGTATTTAGTATTTAAAATTAAATGGCTTTAAAAATAATATACTATGACAGCAAAATAAAATATCGAAATTCTAATGTTTGATAACTTTAATTATTTTGCAAATTTCGAATAAATCAAACCTGATGGGGTTTTGGGGTTTTGGGG